CCCGCACGTTAGCGGTGTCATATCTTCACCTGACGTTCCGTCAGTCGCCGACTCTACCAGCGTAAGCTGCACCAAGGCATTGTGCAGCATCGACGGTGTCATCCGTCGTCCTCGAGCGAGAACTCCAGAAGAGTTCTACGAGCAGCAGCCCATAAGACCCCTGCCAAGGCCAGGACACATCTCTACGGGAGGTCGGCCCCCTCGTGGCAGTAGTTCAGTTTCCATTATCCAGACTCCCTCGGTCAGGCGACCGAGACTACCTGCAGGACCATCTGGTCCAGATCTCAATCAAGGGACATACGTCGAGACCGCTACTGGGTCTCATTTCATCTATCCTCTCGCCGTCTTCATCATCTCGACTCAGCGCGTCGAAGGCACCCTTCGACAGATTCGTATTCTACTCACCAAACGATATCGTCGTCAGCTTGACGACCACGACATCTTCGACCTCGAGCATCTCATACTCAAGCTCGAATCCATCCGCACCGACATCGCGGAATTCAAACTTTCCTTCGTTCACCAACACGTGGTTCGCGATTTTTGCAACTACATTCAGGAAAGGAAGCATCAGGGCGGAGAAGCTCGCTGGATAATCAGAGATATTATCCAGAAGTATCGTCTAGGAATACAGGTCACAGGACGACCTTTGTTGTAGATACAAATATTCACTGTGTATATGTCTTCATCTGGCGATTCGAACAATCTTGATAACTTTGAGCAACTCAATCCAATCGGTCACACTTTCGATTATCTTTGGGATTCAATTCCACGTGTTCTTCGAGACAGAGCAGGCGAAGCGTTTGCTACATACGAGGACACGTTCGACATCGACTACCACGACGTATATCACATATACGCCCTCCAAATCTATCCAGAATTTGATTGGAGGAACGTCGCGGTTCATATCTGCTATATCCCTATCGGGTCCGAAGAACCGGAAGACCGTCTCACTGAAGCTTACAATAGCTTTGTCGATTGGCTCGAAGAAGTCGAGCGCATTTGCGAAATCCATCATAACCATCAGTGGCCCGCAGTCAGGGACAAGACCAGGTTTTTGTGGCAACCCTTCGTCAAGGTCATTTATCAAGATCTTTGGTTGCTGCGAAACCAACGCTCAGGACAAGTAATTGTCCGACAGGCCACGATCGCCAATAGGCATATCACCGAGTTCGAAGAACATCTTCGTGAGATAGAGGAGGAACTGTAAAGATGACGACCCCCACCCCCAAATGATCCAAGCTTCTCTCGTGCTCCATCTTCGGAGCTTCTCGCACGTCTTAATATTGTTTTGCAACCCCCGAATCCTATCATTCGTCAAGCCCTTGCCGACACAGCGCCCCCAAATGCGAACATACCCGAAAATGTGAAGAATTGGGTAGTTGATCTGGTCACAAACGTGGTGGAAGAGATGCGTCAACAAACGGTGGCGCACTACGAAAATCTCATCCAGCGTCAAGCGCATACAATGGAGCGTAACACCACGGAGTTTCACAATCGGACGGTCTTCTTAGACCAACATCGTCAACAAACCGAGTCTCGAATCTCAGACTTGGAGAAAACCTCGTCAGCCTTATTCGAGGACAACAAGGCCACTAACGAATCATTGGTGGCATTTGACGATGAGATCAAGGATCTCCAAACCAGGATGGAAGACCTGAAGAAATCACACGATCGACTTCGCGCATGGGCATCTACTCAGGGAAGAAAAGCAGGGCAAGGCGGTACCAATGTCGACGACACAAACGACGACGATGAGCCGTCGTTTGGTCGCAAGGGTAAAGGCGTAAAAATTGACCAACCAGAAAAATATGGTGGCAATAAGGACGGAGTCAATCTCGATGATTGGCTCGAACAAGTAATGCTCTGGTTGAAATATACCGGACATACCAAAGACGAGTCCAAAATTATGTCTACCCTCTTACTCCTGAAAGGAGGAGCACGCGAATACATGCGACATTGGATTACCGAAATAAATGAAAATAACAAGGCACCCGGAACTTGGGCGGAGTTCGTCTCAGAACTTCGCACGGCATATGAATCATTGGACAAGGACGACAAAAAGCGAACGGAGTTAGAAGCCTTCGTCAAGAAGGACCATCGAGACTTCCGAAAGTTCACAGAAGACTTCCGTCCAAAGGCAACAGGTACAGGCTTCTCGGATCAAGACTTGATTGAAAAGATCAAGAAACATATTCCGGAGAAAACGTGGCTGCTCATGCTGGCGGACACGACTAAGGACAACTGGCCCAAGAAGTGGACCGAGTTTCTTACATTCGCACTCCGGATATTTACATCACTACAATGAGAAGGCCACCATGCCAAGGCCGAAACCAAGGACCTGAATGCCATGGAGGTTGACGCACTCGGGAAGAAGGGGAAGAGTAAATCGGGCAAAGCGCGAAGCGTGCAAGATGACAAGTTGGTTTGCGCCAACTGCAAAAAGAACAAGCCAACATTCTTCAAATCGTCGAAACGCTTCGGCAAGTATTGTACCGATTGTTTCAAATTGGACCATGTCAAGAGACAGATTGAGAAGGAAAAGGAGGCAGCCACGAAGAAGAAGGATGTGAAGAAGAAGGACGACGCCAGGAACAAATCCAAGTCATCCAAGACGCGACAAGTAGCATCGGATTCTGCTTCATCCAATAGCGAAATGGACACGGACAGTGGTCCCGAAGTCAAGAAGCACAAGAGCTCTTCCTCTAAGACTAAGGGGAAGGGGAAGGAGACAGCTGCGCATATCAGCGACCGCAGCATCCACTCGGAAAGCGAGCCTGATGCATCCGAGTCGGACGAAGATTTCGCTGCGATCCTCTCAAGGCTCAGGCGCCTGAGGGCGAATGGATCCAGTTCATCTAGGAAGGCGGGAGAGGGCTCTTCAAGGAAGGATCGGAAGGGTTTTCTCAAAGGGGATCTGTAGGCAGCTCGTCAGAGTCCCCAGAACATTATATAAGACCTGTACATTTAGCACCCAAATCAGACACCTCTGTAGATCGTCGCAACGCAGAGGATGATAATGTAACAATAAAGAATTCGTCTCCAAATTTATCATCGTTCTATTTACCAGTTACATTATGGGTGTACGGCAAAAAATCGAGCGCCGAAGCTCTAGTCGACTCAGGAGCATATTCCATGTACATCAGCAAGCGGTTCGTAAAGAACAATCGAATCGCAACCTCCAAGCTAAACACTACGTATAAAGTGTACAATGCTGACGGATCCCAAAACAAACATGGAGAAATAACCGACTATGTAAAAGCATACCTCAAAGTCGGAGATCATGGTTCCACCCACCGTCTGCTAGTCACAGACATCGGGAAATTAGACATGATCATTGGGATGTCTTACTTACATCAGCATAATCCAGAAATCAACTGGCAAGCTGGAGAATGGAAATACTCACGATGCCCGAGTACGTGTCACCACCAGAGGCTTCATAAAAAACAACAAGCCATTGCGAGAGAGGAAGCTGAAGAAATCTCGCAACGAGCACAACAAGTGGCAGATGAGGAGCCAACTGCATTCCGAATGTTTAATGGACACAACATTGATGCAGTAAATCCTATCATCTCGTGGGTCGAAATGGACGATCCCGAAGTCGAACAAATAGCCCGCATGATACTTTCTATAGCAGATTGCGGCTATGCTGAACCAGAAGAAGACCTGAAAGAAGCGGCACCCCAGTCAAACACTGGCAGCCCAGAAGATCAGGTTATTAATGAAGTAGAATCTTGGGAAAAACTAGTACCAGATTATCTACATTCATTTGGTGATGTATTCTCCAAAAAAGCGTCTGAAAGGATGCCAACTCGAAAGCCTTATGATCATGCAATCGAGTTTGAAGAAGAACATGAATTACCACGACCAAGCAAACTCTATCCTATGAATCCGGAGGAAAGAAATTCCTTAGATTCATGGATCGACGAAAATCTAGCAAAAGGCTACATTCGAAAATCGAAATCACCTATTGCTGCCCCAGTATTCTTTGTCAAGAAGAAGGACAGCACACTAAGACTGGTACAAGATTACCGAAAACTTAATGCCATAACCAAGAAGAATCGCTTCCCTATTCCACGAATAAGCGAGCTTATCGATCAGCTCAGTAACGCGTCAATATTCACCAAGCTGGATCTCA